TTGAATTACAGACCAACTTTCGGCGTCACGGGAAACAGAGGGGAAAAATCTCACAGATCTGGGAATGATCTACTGCAAGCTATTCTAATATATGCGTGAAAGACTTCATAGCACAATCCTGGAGGGTGAATGGCTGATATGCAAAGACTGGCTTACATAGAATAGGTTCTGCTATTGTCATTCAACATAATACAGGATGCTGCATCAAAGGCATAATCATATGTATGTATTGTCTGACACTCTTAAAGCCTATATAACAAGAGCACAAGAGGCAGGTGGTATCATATACTGTCAAACCTGCATCTCACAAATATATATGGATTTCATACATAAACAAACAAACAAACAAAATTGTTAGAGAAATGGAAGTTGTTTCCATAACAAATCTCTTATGCAATTCATGTATGTGCATTTAGAAGCATATACATTTATGGAAGAGGGAAATAACGAGACAGAAAGATAGAGATAAATATAACGGCTAAAAAAAAAACAAAAAAAAAAACTAATATGCTTCTGAGCAAGTAATCCACAATCAAATTTCTTTTTTACAAATCTGAACTAAAATACAAAAAAATTTAGTCTTGCACATAATAATTAAAATGCATCCTTCAGAAACAAAAACCTGTTTCTTAAAATCAATGGATCGAAACGACTCAATATAGGTAGAATACGTTAGGCAGGATTTGTTTCACTCTATCACAATTATAAAGGTGTCAAGCATAAAGTTATTCCAGGGTGGATTTCAAGCATGATATAAGCTAGAGCTTCGCCGGCCGATCTCAAGCTGTACGCCGTAATTTTAACCAAATGACAACGGGTAAAATTTTGGTAAAGCTAGGTGAGAAAGGGCATTCATGTGTGCAGTGCTTTGCCCCTGGGTAGGTTGACTGGCCTGTGGGAGGGCATGCATGAGGTAACCCTTTGACTGGGACACAGATGAAGAGGTTCCGTCTGTTATCTATACCTTTTCACTGAGACATGATAGCACGTCAGCTGTTGTTAATGGATTAAAGCCAATGTTAAAAACAAGACAATACATACCACATTTGCAAGCATCTCACACGACTGTGCGAAGACCTATCCACACAAGCAGGCATGATTGGTGGGCACATCGCAGGGCTCAAGCAGAGATGAAATCATGGGAGGGCAAATTACTCGGGAAACAAGTAGTTCCCCTTTTGTACCCCACCTGTGATGTCCCTGCCTGCCCGTGTGTCTGCCGATCATGTCCACTGGTGAGGACGGGCCTTTACATGACGACACAGCCAAGTCACATGCTGAAAGACTTTGGCCAGCCACTTGACTTGCTTCACTTTCTGCTAATCTCATGGCTGTGCATGACTCTGGAGGGTTAGTTCGCACACAAAATCGCCGGCGAAACATGCTTGGACTCCACCCTGGACCTCTTTACTAATTTGCTTAACTAAAGCAGAGTTTACTGCTACAAGTGAGCCTCTGACTCTAAGTTTGCAAAATCAGCTTTAATCATCTAGCAAACTCCTACCAAAGAGCAACCTCAATTAAGTACAAACAGCAACATGAGTAAAGTCAGACCCAAAATAAATTTGATTGCATCTATCTATCTCTAATTATCCTGCTTATGCATTGGTCAAATGTATATATAAAAAAGAAAAAGAAAAAAGAAAAAAAAAAAACTCTTATCCTAAAAGCTTCATGACTTAGAACTAAAAGTTATGTCTAATCAGCAGTACAATATCATAATGTTGGAACACATTATTTGCAACTTGTAATACAGTATTCAACTGACTAAATCTGATGATGCAAATTCAATATCTGCTTAACCTATGTTACGTCAAGAACTGACCACTAATTTATTAATACTGAAATACATCATTGGCATGCAGATGGAGAATATGATGAGCATTAAGCTGGAAAGACTGCTATCACACAGTGTGTGTGTGTGTGCTAAGTGCATATCCTTGTGCAAGGCTGATTCCTTTGGTCAACAGTGAAGTTTAACTCCTTGGATACATATACATAGATTCATCACGGGATGCAAAACATTGCGCAACCTTGGCTTCTCTCAACTCGCGAATTGGTTCTTCACCACAACCCAACCTTGGCTTCTCCCAACTCGTAAATTGGTTCTTCACCACAACCCAACCTTGGCTTCTCCCAACTCGTAAATTGGTTCTTCACCACAACCCAACCTTGGTTCCATTCAACGTGGTTACTCCCTGTTGCCCTAACAAGCATAACAAGTTCCAACGTCATACTAAATGTTCAAACTGCATTCCAATTTCATAAAACGCAAAGGAATACTAAGTGATTTGAGAAAAACCTTGTGTACAACATTACACGTGATCACATAAAACATATATATGTTTGGTATGTGCATATATATGTAGTTATACATTATTCTTTGCAGCTCGGACTTTAAATTCAACACGGCAAAAATTTGACCAAAATCACACGTATAAGCTGCAGTTGTGTTTGGACTCGGTTTCTGCAGTAAGGACAACTATTAGAGAGCGTGCGTATACTAGCCTTTCATTGAAACGGCTTTCACTACCATCACCTTTCATTCAATTCTCCGATTCCTGACTTTGCCTTAATAATAATAATTAATATAATAATAATAATAATAATAACTTTAATGATAATAATAATAATAAAAAACAACAACAACCTCAGTGATAGTCATGAAAAGATTTTTAATAAAAAATGTAATAACACCAGAAATAATAATAATGATAATGATATTAATAATAATAATAATAATGATAAATGACAAACAAAAATAATACAAACAACACCAAAATTAATAATGACAATAATAACATAAATAATGATGATAATAATGATAATAATAATAATAATAATAATAATAATAATAACAACAATTTCAACAGAAATAAAGATATATCACAATAAAACAAAAATAATAATAACAATAAAGAAAATACAATAAAATAAATAAATAAAACTGCTGTACCAACAACAGTAGTAATAGTAGAAGTATAAATAGCAGTAGTAGTGGTGGTAATAACAGTAATAATAATAATAATAATAATAATAGCATCAATAGTAGTAGTAACAATGACAGGAGTAGTGGTGGTAGTTATAGCATTAATAGCAGCATGGACAAGAGTAACTGTTAAGACCTAGCAGCAGCAGTAGTTCATTATCCTTATCATTAATATCATTGGTAACAGCAGTGGCAGTAGTAGTAGTAGTAACAGAAATTATGGCAATAATAATAATAATAATAATAATAATAATAATAATAATAATAATAATAAAAACAATAATAATAATAATAATAATAATAATAATAATAATAATAATAGAAAAAAATAACAGTAATAATAACTGAAATAATACTAATAACAATATTAACAATAATAATAATAATAGCAATAATAATAATAACGATAATAACAACAAAAATAATAATAACGGACTTGAATTAAGCGTTACAAGAACAATATCAATAACAGTAATAATAGTAGCAATAGTAGAAATGACAAAAATAAAGAGTAATAGTGGTGGTGAAAGTAGTTATAGTAATAGTAGCAATAACATTAATAGTAATAGATATAGATATAGTAGTAGTAGTAGTAGTAGTAGTAATAGCAGTAGTAGTGGCAGTAGTAATAAAAGCAGTAAGTATAATAATAATAATAATAATAATAATAATAATAATAATAATAATTATTATTATCAACAATAATTGTTAATAATAATAGTAGGAATAGTATAATAATAATAATAATAATAATAATAATAATAATGATAATAGTAACAATAATAATAGTAATAATAGTAACAATATCATTACTAATAACATCATTAATGTTATCAATAACCTCATCAATATTATTCTCCATTATATCATTAATATTTCTATCAATAATATCATAGATAAAATTATTAATAATATTCATGATAATATCAGCAATAATATGAAAAATAACAATGATAATAAAAGTAATTAATGATAATATGTATTATCATTAATGATAATAATGATAATGATAACCATAATAAAAAATAAAAATAATAAAAATGATAACAACTGCAACAACAATAGCAAGAAGCCACAGTTGCAATACTGGTTATATCACTGCTATGAAAAAAAAAACTAAACAAATAAAAACAACTATAATAATAATAATAATAATAACTACAATAAAAGCAGCAACAATAATAATACTACCAAAAAAATCATCAATAATTATAATTTTCATAAAATACAATAATGCAAATAATACATTAACAGAGGTAATCCATCCAAAATAAAATCTCACTTAACAAAATTATAAAAGAGAAAAGACAAAAATTTAGCAAAAACAATAGCAATGACATTAATAATAATATCCACTAAAAAGGGAAAAATAATAATAAAAACAATCAGAATAATAATAGCAATAATAATAATGATAATAACAATACTAATAGCAATAATAATAATGATAATAATAATAATAATAATAGCAATAATAATAATGATAATAATAATAATAATAGCAATAATAATAATGATAATAATAATAATAATAGCAACTAATGGTAATATAAAAAATAATGATAATAACTACAATGATGATGATGATGACAAGGATGATGGCAATAATGATAATAATAATAATAAAGAACACTGATGGTGATGATGGATGACACTTATAAAAGTAACATAAGGTAATAATGAAAAGAAAATATAGTGATAATGATAAGATAATAACAACAAAAACAATGATAATCCCAATAATTATAACATATAAAATAATTATAATAGGTTAATACCGTAACCATAATAAAAATCACAGCAATAACCTTAAAATGTCATAATATTAAATACAAACACACTATTTGAAAAAATAAAAACTGAAGACTATGACAATAATAATAATAATAATAATAATAATAACAATAATTATATGACTGTTAATATAAAATAATAATAATAATAATAATGCCAATCATATGATAATGATGATGATAACAACAACAATAAAAATAATATTGACAATAGTAATAATGATAATAATAATAATAAACCACAATAATAAAAATTTTAATGATGGTGATCATGTTCATAATAATAATAGCAATAATAATGATAACAATAAAACATAATAATAATGACAATAATAAAAATAATATTAATAACAATAATAATAATAATGATAATAATAATAATAGTAATAATAATAATATTGATAATAATAATAATAATAATAATGCCAACAATATCAATATTTACGACACTTACACTGTCATAATACTATTGAAAATAACTGTCATATTAACATAAAACAATAAGAATAATAGTAGTAATAATAATAATAATAATAATAATAACAAAAACAATAATAATTTCAATAATAACACTAATAAAGCTAGCAAAGAAGCTTTAAATGGACACGAAACTAAATCATAAAATACCGATAAATAGAATGATAAATATTACAGCATATCTCTAAATAACTTTCATAACAATATCAATAAGTTAATACACTACTCCGTAAAATATATTAACACTACTTGGCAAAGGGACAACAATGCTGATTTATGACGAGAAAACGACGATGATGTATTGGCGTAGTTCACATAAAATGACTATTACAACGGCTGTGATGCAACTAAGGATAAGCAGAAAAAAGGAGAACCACCGTGAAGAAAATATCAAGGAGGAACGTCTTGACTATAAAATCTACTTGTGTTCTCAAAGATATGAGAGGGAGAGAGAGGAAGAGAAAGAGAAAGAGAAAGAGGAAGAGAGAGAGGGAGAGGAAGAGAGAAAGGAAGAGAGGGAGGGGGAGGGGGGAAAAGAGAAAGAAAAAAAGAAAGAAAGAAAGAGAGGGAGAGGAAGAGAGAAAGGAAGAGAGGGAGGGGGGAAAAGAGAGAGAAGAGAAAGAAAGAAAGAAAGAAAGAAAGAAAGAAAGAAAGAAAGAGAGAGAGAAATAAATGATACCTTTGTCCTTAACACATGTACAGTTAAGTATATTGTGCTTCCCATGAGTTGATGATAGTATATAACAGCAAGAAGGACTCAGAATGATAGTAGAAGTACCATCAAAATAATTATGATTATAATAAGAATAAAAGTAATAAAAGATGGTAAAAATAATAGCTATAATGTTAATAATAATATCATGGTAAAAGTAATATTAAAATAATAATGTACATATAATTACAATAGTAATAATAATAATGATAATAATAATAATAATTTGATTAGATCACATTTGTGGATTCATAACATTTTACATAAAAAATATCACAAGCAATACCCTTTACTGTCTTTGCTTCCTTCTCTGATGAAGATACCTGCTTACTAAGTAACTCTAAATATACATATGTAATTCCATTGCTAAAATATTGAACCTACAATCCTAGTACTTGATAAAATTTTTATGCCGACTGACCACCTCGTCCACGATGAGCTTCTCGATCTCAATTTTCTCGGCCTTCTGGTGCTCGGTCAGTCTCAGCAGGCTGCTCTCCTTCTCCGTGACGAAGGTGACCTCCTCCCGCCGCGTCTGCAGGAGGTTGCCGATGACCAGGTCGTGCTTGTACTTCTGCAGAGCCTCCGTGGCCTTCTCGATCAGCTTCTTCTCGTCCGTCTCCAGCTTGAAAGACACCACAAAGAGCTCTGGGCCCCAAATGGACACTAAGGGGCTCAGCATCTTGGGCACCAGCTGGAGGGTGACGGTCAGGGGGCCACTTGACGTGTGGATCTTGTGCTCGGAGATCTTGTCTGTGAGAGAGAGTAGAGAATGATAAATGGTGATGATGGTGAAGAGGGCAATAGTAAGGATGAAAATGATGACAACCAACAAACAGGCACCAGTCACAGCAAAATTTTTCATTGTTCCTGCCTCTACCCTATATACTTTAACCCAATGCCGCCGGGGAAAATGAAAAAAAAAAAAAAAAAAAAAAAAAAAAAAAAAAAAAAAAAAAAAAAAAGCCAGGAGGAGGACTATGTAGTAATGAATATAAAAAATAAAACAATTAAACAATTAGAGAAATAGAACAGAGGAGGTAATTACCTGCTAGAGGAATTCCAAAGTCATACATTAATCATCCCTGTTTTTTTCAGCGTCCCTTTCCCGAAAATGTCTTAAAGCTAATAAAAATGTCTTCCTCTTTCATTCAAGCGTCAATATTATGCAAAGATTTCTACCATTTCCACATTATGGTACATAAAAAGTGCAAACAAAAGTAACTATCTAAACCATTTGTTAAAAGAAAAAAGGTTTATACTGTATGCAAAATATCCGTGCACATTTTGTGGATTTTTCTTTCCAAACAAATAGTTCGGTAATTCTAATACTACCATAGATACTGTTTATGAACGGTGAAGAAAGGAGAATCTCATAAATGTGGAAATAGTCGAAGCAGAAGCAGAAGAACAAAAATAAACTTAAATGATGACAACCAACAAACAGGCACCAGTCACAGCAAAATTTTTCATTGTTCCTGCCTCTACCCTATATACTTTAACCCAATGCCGCCGGGGAAAATGAAAAAAAAAAAAAAAGCCAGGAGGAGGACTATGTAGTAATGAATATAAAAAATAAAACAATTAAACAATTAGAGAAATAGAACAGAGGGAGTAATTACCTGACAGAGGAATTCCAAAGTCTCATACATTAATCATAACTGTTTTTTTCAGCGTCCCTTTCCCGAAAATGTCTTAAAGCTAATAAAAATGTCTTCCTCTTTCATTCAAGCGTCAATATTATGCAAAGATTTCTACCATTTCCACATTATGGTACATAAAAAGTGCAAACAAAAGTAACCATCTAAACCATTTGTTAAAAGAAAAAAGGTTTATACTGTATGCAAAATATCCGTGCACATTTTGTGGATTTTTCTTTCCAAACAAATAGTTCGGTAATTCTAATACTACCATAGATACTGTTTATGAACGGTGAAGAAAGGAGAATCTCATAAATATGGAAATAGTCGAAGCAGAAGCAGAAGAACAAAAATAAACTTAAATGATGACAACCAACAAACAGGCACCAGCACAGCAAAATTTTTCATTGTTCCTGCCTCTACCCTATATACTTTAACCCAATGCCGCCGGGGAAAATGAAAAAAAAAAAAAAAAAAAAAAAACAAAGCCAGGAGGAGGATTATGTGGTAATGAATATACAAAATAAAACAATTAAACAATTAGAGAAATAGAACAGAGGAGGTAATTACCTGACAGAGGAATTCCAAAGTCTCATACATTAATCATAACTGTTTTTTTCAGCGTCCCTTTCCCGAAAATGTCTTAAAGCTAATAAAAATGTCTTCCTCTTTCATGCAAGCGTCAATATTATGCAAAGATTTCTACCATTTCCACATTATGGTACATAAAAAGTGCAAACAAAAGTAACTATCTAAACCATTTGTTAAAAGAAAAAAGGTTTATACTGTATGCAAAATATCTGTGCACATTTTGTGGATTTTTCTTTCCAAACAAATAGTTCGGTAATTCCAATACTACCATAGATGCTGTTTATGAACGGTGAAGAAAGGAGAATCTCGTAAATATGGAAATAGTCGAAGCAGAAGCAGAAGAACAAAAATAAACTTAAATGATGACAGCCAACAAACAGGCACCAGTCACAGCAAAATTTTTCATTGTTCCTGCCTCTACCCTATATACTTTAACCCAATGCCGCCGGGGAAAATGAAAAAAAAAAAAAAAAAAAAGCCAGGAGGAGGACTATGTAGTAATGAATATAAAAAATAAAACAATTAAACAATTAGAGAAATAGAACAGAGGGAGTAATTACCTGCTAGAGGAATTCCAAAGTCATACATTAATCATCCCTGTTTTTTCAGCGTCCCTTTCCCGAAAATGTCTTAAAGCTAATAAAAATGTCTTCCTCCTTCATGCAAATGTCAATATTATGCAAAGGTTTCTACCATTTCCACATTATGGTACATAAAAAGTGCAAACAAAAGTAACCATCTAAACCATTTGTTAAAAGAAAAAAGGTTTATACTGTATGCAAAATATCCGTGCACATTTTGTGGATTTTTCTTTCCAAACAAATAGTTCGGTAATTCTAATACTACCATAGATACTGTTTATGAACGGTGAAGAAAGGAGAATCTCATAAATGTGGAAATAGTCGAAGCAGAAGCAGAAGAACAAAAATAAACTTAAATGATGACAACCAACAAACAGGCACCAGTCACAGCAAAATTTTTCATTGTTCCTGCCTCTACCCTATATACTTTAACCCAATGCCGCCGGGGAAAATGAAAAAAAAAAAAAACAAAGCCAGGAGGAGGACTATGTGGTAATGAATATACAAAATAAAACAATTAAACAATTAGAGAAATAGAACAGAGGAGGTAATTACCTGACAGAGGAATTCCAAAGTCTCATACATTAATCATAACTGTTTTTTTCAGCGTCCCTTTCCCGAAAATGTCTTAAAGCTAATAAAAATGTCTTCCTCTTTCATTCAAGCGTCAATATTATGCAAAGATTTCTACCATTTCCACATTATGGTACATAAAAAGTGCAAACAAAAGTAACCATCTAAACCATTTGTTAAAAGAAAAAAGGTTTATACTGTATGCAAAATATCCGTGCACATTTTGTGGATTTTTCTTTCCAAACAAATAGTTCGGTAATTCTAATACTACCATAGATACTGTTTATGAACGGTGAAGAAAGGAGAATCTCATAAATGTGGAAATAGTCGAAGCAGAAGCAGAAGAACAAAAATAAACTTAAATGATGACAACCAACAAACAGGCACCAGTCACAGCAAAATTTTTCATTGTTCCTGCCTCTACCCTATATACTTTAACCCAATGCCGCCGGGGAAAATGAAAAAAAAAATGGGGAAAATGCTGTGCCTATTTTCTATATTTTACGTGAAATGTCTACCGATAGATGGCTCTGCTAGCGCCTGATTTGAAATGGCGGGAAAAACGTATTTTTCACTATGAAATTCGATTGTGTTATTTCTATCATAAACATTATAATTTTATAATGTTTTTTAACATTAGTAACAGCAAAATAAGATAACGTAAAATATTTCATAAATCAAAGAAAAGGGTAAACGGGTAAGACGGGCAGTACTCGGAACTCCCTTCATTGGGGAGTTAGTACAAGTGTTGCCATCTATGTGTAAAAACAATCAAACAAGTACTCACAGTGGGCATAGCATGTACGTACACGTCATACCCGTCGGCATTGGGTTAATGCCTGAGCCCTGGGATATTCATGATACATGTATAAATATCCTAATAGATGAAAAAATAATTATGCTTCCTACTACAAGAATGACAACAGTTCTTGCTATAAACTTAAAACATATGCTTTTCGTGAAAAGTACTTGCCCGAATTTACTGAAATCTGTAAAGTAACTTGTAAAATAATAAGAAAGTTCTTCACCCCCAAAAATGGGGGGGAAAAAAAGGAAAGAAATTTTAACAGAAAGTAAAAAAAACAAAACAAAACAGAATTTGTCCTTCTACCTTGAGGAATGTAAAAATCGGACACAGCCGCAGCCAAATACAGTAAGGCCTTAGGTGCTCGCTGCTGCAGACACTGAGTGGCCGCACGCAAGAGCCACAGATAGTCGGAGAGCGTGGTGAACGTCAACCACAAGATCCGTCCTTCGCTCTTCACCCGTTGGTAGTTGAGCCAAATGGGGCGTACCTGTTGAAATTTCCTGGCTTTAATTACACTAGCAAAATTTTCTTTACAGATGTTATAAATTCATATATATAATGGACACGAGGACTGTAGTTTACATAATTGTTTTTGAAACTTTAAGAATGATATTACATATTTCAAATTAAAAAAAAACTATGAACATTCCTGTTACTTTTAATATCACTGAGACCTTATACACTGATAACATTGGTATTTGGACACCTTATGTCATACAGATCTATACAAAGAATAGAATTTTTTTTTTTACAAAAATATACTATCAATAAAAAATAAATAAATAAATAAAAAAAATTATTGCTTTATTTGTGTTAGCCTTACTAACTTTTGATCTAAACCTGAAGTGGATACTAATTACATGAAGTTAACTATCTCAGTATCTGCATATAAAGTAACGGGTACTAGCAACAGTGCCATGTAACCACAAAGAAAAAATATCTATCAGCACAAAGACTATAAAACATTTTGTAATAATCCACTATCACAAATTGAAGTTCTGCATAAGTACTGGCCTCTTCTTTGGTTAACTCAATGACTAAAGATTTATGTGCTGTCCCCAGTACTTTTTTTGTGAATTTTCTTACATACAGATGACTCCTTGTACTTACCCACCAAGGAGTCTATCAGTAGGCCCTAGTGACTACACCTGATTTTCCCCTTCCTTGAAGTTGCAGGAAAATGCATTTTTCTTTTTAATACAATCAATATTGATACTCTTAATGATATTATGATTATCAAATTGTCAATAAAATATTAAAGACAACAAAATAATACAAATGAAGCTTTCTGAAAGTCACGGAGAGTAAACAGGTGAGATAAATAGGACTGACATGGAATGTATCCCTAGCATCCATGCCAATTAGGTGAAAAAATATATTTTGCCTGAAATTATACATAGACACACACACCAGTAAGAAAGGTTAAGTATAAACTTCACATCAATGATTTTTGATCATCTGGAACTATGATATAACAATCTGAAGCTGAAAGCTGGAAGGTAAGGATAAAGCCAAGCACAGTCACCCAGCTCCATAGCTACAAACCCTAAACAGCTGTTTGCTTGTTTGTTTCATGGAACTGCAGTTCAGAAGCTACACTCTCTCTCAAATGTGAGGATAAAGCCATGCTTTTGTCTCAAAGGCTGGAAAATAATATATACTATAACCAAACACCCACAGACTGAGGTAAATATGTGCTCCCCGAACTTCTGGTTTTAGCCTTGGGCAGTGTCACTATAGGGGTGAAACTGAGACTTCAGAAATGCTACCTTATAATGGAGGATGAAAAGATAGGACTATGGCTTACACTGGCTGAGTGTGTGGCCGACAACTGCAGACATCCTGGTCCCTCTTGCAGTGCATCTAGGAGGAAGCTTGGGTCGAGATGCCTCAAGAAAGGAGTCACCGACTTTTCTCGGTGAATGAAGATGACAGCATACCCGTGTGACAAGAAATATTCCGTGGAGGCTGCCCCACGCGTCCCAGCACTAAAATTATCTACAAACCTGTAATTAACAAAACAAATATGGATTAATATATGACAGTAAATCTATCCATCTATTCTTAAACATAGACACATAGCCCCCCTCTCAATTATCATTAGTGGATTAGGAGGACATTTTTATCAAAGGTAAATATTTAAAAAAAAGTTTTTAATAAAAGCCAGACTGTACTTTTACATGTCTAGTACATGGATTTTGTATTTTTCCTATCATCATGTTTTAGCTGGCCTACAATCAACACAAGATCATGAGGATATATGGTACAGTAGAATGCACAAGATTTTATGTTGTCTAAGTAGATCTTGAGTCCAAAGTCTGACTACTTCTCCCCTAAATAACCATTCATACAGAATTTTTTATAGCAATAGAGTATTTTGATGGAACTATAATCATTAATAGCAAGGCAACAGTAACTTCCCCCATTGTACAGGTCTAAAAAAATTCTAGAATGGCAGAAACATACATCAAGTCTTGCCAAGGAATAATATATATTGCTTCTAAAATGAAACCTACAGTTACATTAAAAAAAAAGAAGGGCCTTCCTGAATTCCCTATTTTCAGCTCTTAAGTACCATCCCTTTAGTAAGACGCAGCAGTATTCTGAACATACAAACCCAAAACAAAAGACCAGAAAGAAATATTCAGAAAAGATTTCAATGACTTACCTAACAGTGTTCCTCTCCAGCGGAACGGTTGTGCCACCTGAGGTAACAAGAGCTATAGGGTTCTTGCCGACATGTTGCTGGCAAAAACCTTCTAGTTGAGCACGAGCCAAGTCGTAGCCACGAGGAGCTGGCGTTTCGGCAAAATATTTCTCCCACTCTTCCATGACTGCTCCTTGTGGCTGGAAAGTAATTTTGGAGTTAATTCAAGCTGTAGGGCATAAATTGTTCATCAACTGACATAGATACAATTTTTGGGGGGCTGGTCTTACATATTGCAATCATAGACTTAAATAATATAAATATTCTGTAGATTAATATAATTTGGCTTTTGTATCTAACCTGAAAAGCGACTTTGAAAAACAAAACATTTATGAACTCTATAATGATCAAGAAGCCATATGACAACCATTCTAACTTACATGGCGTGAACTATTTTTAACTATTATAAATTCCCTTTCAGTGATTTTTCAACAAGCTCTTTATTAATCATTACCTAATTAATCCAAATATTTTCACAACGGATAATCAAAAGACAATCTTAGAAAGAAGAAATAATGGATAACAAAGAAAGAAAGAAAAAAATCTCTATTCCTTTGCTGTCTGACAATCCACAAATAGCATATCTATAATCCATGAATCTTGAAAGAGTAATATCTATTTTAATTTTCTGAATTCTTCTAAACAGACAAACACACAAACCAAAAAAAAAAAAAAGAAAAGAAAAGAAAAGAGAGAGAGAGAGAGAGAGGAGCAGGGCTGGTTAGAATGGGTTAAACTAAGGTAAGATTGATAATGACAGGATATATCCATACAGAAAAGGATAATGCAAGATAATATGTAGTCAACGCTAAGTTCAAAACAACAAATTATTTTAAAGACCCTTGCAATGTCAGCTACTGCCTAAGGCTAATAGGCGTGGCATATGTCCTTATCAGCAATCCTGCATCTATTGACAAACCTCCTTCCCTTATATTCTTGTAAGAGAGAGAGCTTATACACATACAAAGCAATTTACCATAATGTTAAGAACTAGTCCAAGTTCTAGGCGATTACCACATTCGCAAAAGGATGTTTCCACATTTCTGACCACAGAAAGAATCAAAGGTTTTGCATTTACTAATAGAACATGAGAAAAATCTCTCTCGATTTTAATTTGTCCAAAAATAGAGATCACAAGAATTCGCACGATAAAAAGTATCCATTTCCTCCCTTCCTTTACTTTTTAACCTATGGCTGTAGAGGTAGTGACTATGAATAATTAATTTCATATCACATTTGGTGATATCACAACATCAAATAATTTATGACAAGTTGGATCAACTTCACGCTTTTCTATGGCTAGTCTCACCTTAACCATAATTCTAAAAACACCAGTATGTAACGAATATCAATGCTCTCTATTCTGCAACTTCTTTCAAAAACATCAACCATAACCACCTCACTGACAAAAACACAAAACAAAAACAAAAGGACAGATCTTCAACCAAATGCAGACCAATTCCTCGAGAAAATCCGCAACAGAGAGGCAATTTCGAGGAACCTGGCGCAGGACCTTTCACCGCACAAACACAAAGTGCAGTCGCTCCCCCCAAGCACGCGAATAACAGTCAAACCCACAAGGAAGACAAACAACAGGGAGCTGTTAGCATTCTCTTTGGCTTTCAATGAAGGACCACAACCCACTTACTAATACACGGCAAGGGAAAGAGAGTAACTACAAGAAAGTAAATACAAAAAAATGGGTGTGTTGTTATGTTTATCTTTTTTTTTTCTTATACTTTGGGCTTTAAATCCTTTCAAACATACCCAAAGGTAAAAGGGAGGGTTAATTAACAAATAAACGAGTACTAACTGTTGTTCAAATACTTCTAACAAAACTCGGCCCCGTTAATCTTCCTAAAAAGGGATTTTGTTCACTGCTGAACAAGACCCACTTCCTGCCATAAACAAAAACGTCACCTCTTTCTTATATTTCCAATCTAATAATTTACATTATGCTCTCTGGCTCGTGCATCTGGCCCTTACGGATCTCCAACCGAGTGGTGAATCAAAGGGAAAAGCGTAAACGAGGCGAAAGAGGCGTAATTCCCATCGTTATTCCGGTCGTCCGAATCGAGGTGGAGTTCCGGTGGGTTTTCCTTCCCTCGCGACGCCCACCTGCCGCTACGCCCATGAAAAAGCCTCGTAATTACTACATCTACCGAAAGCAAAGCAGGACAAGTCTCCTCGCAGCTTCTAGCCAGACGAAAAATCGCTCACCAATTGACCGGAAGTGTGAAAATAGGCCTTAAAAAAAAGCCTCCACGCTCTACCTTGTTCATGGACGGCCAGCCCGGAGCACCACTCATGGCACTTAAATAACCCCATAACCGTGAATCATGCTCGTGTTGGGAGGTTTTCAGACAAACCTTCATCTATCGTGAGTCTATTTCATGGATATTCGCCGCATGGATTTTAATATTCCTCATAGGATGGGCTTGATAGGGACAGATAAAGAGAAATTCCGCTGAACTACGAATGGTTTCATCATCTCTGTTTATCTGATGACTACGGACTTATTCCTTTAAAATACTTTACTTTATTCGTCTTCGTGAGCTGGACCTTTTATCATTTACGTAAAAGTCTGTTGCTCCTTATACTGGCTTTTTATACATACCAGAAATATACAAAAAAGATACACAAACAAGCAAAATTGTTTAAGCACTATATGTAAATGCTCATGTGTATGCAAATCAGCTGCGTGATGTCTCGTCCTCACTCACTGACATATTTATACACCCGCACTTAAACCTAAATATATATATTACAAACACGCATACACAAATACAGTATATATTGCAAACACGCATACACACTAATACAGTATATATTATGGCGGATGTACATTGGGAGCAGTTGCCACTCCCAATAATGATGGCAATAAGGCAATAATAATAATGGCAGTACTTATGTATATAATACTAATAATGATGTTAATAGTGATAACAAGTTTAACAGTAATATTAATGATAAGAACAACCCTAACAACATTGTAATCCTTACGATTATCATTATAATCACAATTTCATTATTATCAATATCATTTATGGTTTTATTATTGTTTCTTTCTTTATTCTTTTCATCATTGTCATTAATATTATCATTATTGCTATTATTGCTATCATTATTGATTATTATTATTATTATTATTATCATTAGTATTAGTATTAGTATTAGTATTATCATTATCATTACTATTATGACTATTATGATTGTCATTATAATAATGATAATGATAATAATAAAAATAGTAATAATATTAATAATAATAATGATAATAATAATAATAATGATAATAATAATAATGATAATAATAATAATTATTATTATTATTACTACTACTACCATTATTATTATTATTATTATCATCATCATCATCATCATCATCATCATCATCATCATCATGTCACCATAATGATGACAGCAATAGTGATCATATTGCTAATGATAATACTGTTAAGGATTATAATAATGTTAATGATAATAATAATGATAACAATGATGATGCTAACACTAATAATAATGCAGATGACAATTCTAATGATAACAACAACTATAACTATAATAAGAATATCAATGATAATGATAGTAACAAGGAATTGTTATTGATAATAATAATAACAAAAATGATAATGATTATAATAATGATGATGATAACAATAATAATGATCATGATAAAAAGATAACAACATCAACAACAAAAACTACAACGGAAACAGCAATAGTAATAGAAATAATAAAAAAGAATAATAATGATGATAATGATGTTCATAATAATGATAATAATAGTAGTTATAGTAATAGTAATGGTGATAATAATAATAATAATAATAATAATAATAATAATAATAATAATAATAATAATAATAATGATAACGATAATGATAATGATAATATTAATAATAATGATGATAGTAATGATGATAATAATGATAATCATAATATTAACAGTAATAATAATGATAATAGTAATGATGATAATAAAAATAGTAGTAATAATGCTAATGGTAATTATGACAACAATAACAACAACAATAATAATAATAATAATAATAATGATAATTATGATAACAATAATACCAACAATAATATTTTTTTGGTAATGAGGATGATAATAAGGAAAATAATAAAGATAATAATGATTATGATGGCATTGCCGTTGTCATTATTACCAATATCATCATTATTATAATAATTATTATCATTATTACTATTCTTATTATCATCATTATTGTCATTGCTATTATTATTATTTCATTACAATTATTATTATTATTGTTATTCTAATATTTTTTTTCTTGTTTTTATCATTAACATTATTATTATCATTACCATCATAACAAAAAACAATAATAATAATAATATTAATAGTAGTAGTAGTAGTAGTAATAATGATAATGATGATGATAATAATAATGATAATAATAATAATAATAATAATAATAATAATAATAATAATAATTTACATCATCTATTATTATCATCATTACCTTCATTATTAATCACCATGAATACCATTATCATATTCCATCATAATAACAGAAAAAAAAGAACTGAAAAAGAACAAAAACGATACTATAAAAAAATCTCGAATAGTCACGTGTTCCTCTGAGGCCATTATTGTCTCCTTCAAGACACGGCATATTACTGTCATACAAATCTCCACAGAGGCATTCATGACACGTACAGGCACACAGACTTTCTCATGCGGCCGTGTGGTTTGGTAAATGATTGTATTTTCCGTTATATGTGATCAGATATAAATTGTATAGAAAGGGATTATTATAACGAGGCTAGAATATTCATAAGGGGGATACAGGTGTACTTGCATTTAACATTTTTTTTTTTTTATCGGTATTATAATTTCCTCGATAGGTAATTTGGGGAAAAAAACGTATTTGAATAAATTATTTCTAAAAAGAATGTTAGAGTGGATTTAATTGTTTGAGAAAGAATGATATAAGCATGATTTTGGCGAATTATTTTTTTGATATATTTTGATCAATTGCCGGAGAAACGAATCATTGTCGACCGGAAGTGACTAGTGTTTGATTTATGAATTCTGTTATGATCGCCGTTATTGTTACTTTTGTTATTTCCATTATTATTATTGGAGTTATTATTATTATCATTATTATTATTATTATTATTATTATTATTATTATTATTATTATTATTAATATCATCATCATCATTATTATTACTGTTGTTATCATCATCTTTATTATTATTGTTACTACTATTGTCATTGTTAACATTGTTATTATTATTATCATTATTATCGTTATTATCATTATCACCATTACTGTGATCATAGTAGTAACAGTACTAATAGTAGTAGTAGCATTGTCATTGTTAACATTGTTATTATTATTATCATTATTATCGTTATTATCATTATCATCTTTATTACCAATATCATTATTATCATTATTATCGTTATTATCATTATCACCATTACTGTGATCATAGTAGTAACAGTACTAATAGTAGTAGTAGCATTGTCATTGTTAACATTGTTATTATTATTATATTATTATCATTATTATCATTATCATCATTATTGTTATTATCATTATTATCATTATCACCATTACTGGGATCAAAGTAGTAGTATTACTAATAGTAGTAGTAGCATTGTCATTATTAACATTATTATTATTATTATATTTTTATTATTATTATTAATATCATCATCATCATTCTTGTTAACACTATTATTATTATTACTATTATTATTATTATTATAACTACTACTACTACTGCTACTACTATTGTCATTATTTTTGTTTATAGTAATAGTAGTAGCATTATTATCATTATTATCGTTATTATCATTATCATCTTTATTACCAATATCATTATTATCATTATCACCATTACTGTGATCATAGTAGTAACAGTACTAATAGTAGTAGTAGCATTGTCATTGTTAACATTGTTATTATTATTATATTTTTATTCTATTTAATAGTTTCATAATTTTCATCATCTTTGATAAACACCCTAGTCATCATTACCACTACTTTAAAACTCGATTTCTTTAGAGCTTAAAAAAAAGAAAACATACGAAGCTATTTGCCAAATGTTTCTAACTCATGGATAGTTATACCAGTTGATATCGTTCTTGCTTTTCGTTCAATCAGCCTTTTGGGCGTGGCGAGCATTGGGAAAGTCAACAGCTTGTTAATAATAATAACTTTTGTGACTCATAGATTTGTGATTCGTTTATAAATAATCCTTTGAAATAATAACAACATTAAATACACGTTATTCCCTATGTTTGTTTATCAGAAGAATATTTCGATTTCTAGAGATTATGTAGATTAGCTAAGGTGAACTTTCTGTTCCTAAATTTATAAAATGGCAAAAATATCACGTGTTTTTTTTTTTAAATTCAAAGAGTGAATTTATCATGAGCTTCGCGATTATTAAGCAAAATCAGTATGTAAATATTTTTTCGTTCCGGTGAGAGTTAAAGTAATATGCTTTCGTTATCGAACTTATATACTGATGCAGATAAATGCAATACCCATAAACTTTAAAAAATAATAATATTATCACATATATTCTATCATATATATGCAACATAAATGTTTTCATGAAAAAAAACACACATTTTTACACAACGATTTTTTTGCTGTTTTTTTTTTCGCTTTATCAAACTCGGAAAAAAAAATTATGTCCTCAGACAAACAAACTCATTGAATTATAGACCCCCAAAAACAAACAAACAAACAAACACCAAAATGTTCGCCTTTTTCATTATTACCGTTCACATCTCCTTGTTTTAACACTCAGTGAATGAAAAGAACTGACACAAACACGAATAATAAAAAAAACTGGATTTCCTCTCCGTATTCCTCTGCTTTTCTATCCTCAAGCTAAGTCACAAATGAAGGAAAACAAGACATATTGCTGATAAATAATAATAACGAAAAAGAAACTGACACAAACACGAAGAAAAGAAATTGAAAGAGAACTTATGCACACTTTTCCATTATGCACAATTTTCCTGTCCGTATGGTAAGGCACGCATGACGGAAAGCAAGAAAATGTTTTTGAATAATAACGATAGCAAGGATAATGATGATGATAATAATAATAATAATAATAATAATAATAATAA